ATTTTCCAACCCCCACCCTCCAGGTAATTATTGCACAGTCCCTTAGTTATTTTTCAAACTGCAGGCGAAGAAAATGTTCTAATTCTAAACGTTTTTGATTGAAAAGAGGTTGGGCGGAATAACATGGCTGGTAAACAGTCCTACATTTTGGCATTTGAAACCAAACTTCACAAATATTCACCGACTGACTTAAGGCAAATTTCAGCTGGTTTTCTATAATTCACTGCTGGATTTTACTTTTTTAGAGCCACATGGCGAACTAGAAACACAATATTCCTTGTGAAAACTGATTGCTTTTCCTTTGTCACGGAATATGGAGAGTATTTAGCATCAATGTCACTAACTTCTGTAGGATACACGAGACAGCGTGTAACCAAACTTGAAGCGATTTATCGAAACAACTGAAAACTCTCTTGTATATCAGCTAAAAAATGAATTTGTGAGCTGCATCTCGCCCTGAAGATTTGAGATCGCCTCAGCATTGCCTGGAATAGCTTGACCTTGTCCTTTTTAAGAAGTTCACAAAATCTGTTTGACTTCAAGTCTAAAAATACACCATATTGTATATTTTCAAACCCAACTGATGACTTCACAAATAAGTATACAAACGAAGACATTGATATTTTCCAAAACAACAGTTCGCACAAATCCGAAATAATAGTCTTTATATTTTCTCGAGTGCCTGATAAGATTAGAAATAGACCTGTTTTCTTTGCAAGCATTAACGCTAAACATTTATGATACTAGAAAAATTTTCGCCGTGGGAAAGAATCTGGTGTTTGCATCACAAGAGCCGGAAATAATCCAGATTTTTATAAACACACGAAAAAAAATTCTCGTTTCACTGGCGGAAATGAGATCAGTTTCCGAGACCGAGTACAGTTTTATTTGTATTGTTATTTTAAAAACACTTCCTAACACAGTCGTGAAAATCGCCTCGCTTACCTTAATTTCTTGCTGTACAAACTTCGCTAGAAATTACGAATAAGAAACCAAGATAAAACGATTTTGGCTAACGTTTAAATATTCGCGATTCACATGCGAGCTTTCTTCCAAGTCAGCTGCACAGAACGTCGCACGAAAATAAAAACGTTCTCGACTTCTGCAATAAGGTCGACAATTAACCCGCTTCAATGCTACAGAGTACACAGACCAGCATAACCACATGTTAGTCAAACTTCAACACGGTATACGTTTCTTTCTGTCATTTAATACCATTCAAACACCCGTGGGAAACTATTTTTGATGACATGATAGAACCGTGAAAAAGGCATTTGTTTTGTAAATTTAATGAAGTGGTTTTAACAACAAAAAATAACTTTATGAGCCATACTGTATCTCTCACTTGTAAATCAAAGAAAAGTTCTCTTTCATAACATTCTTGATCTTCCGAATGGCAATAAATCGTGCAAGACATTTAAAAGTTAAAAAGTTGTGTTCACGGCTACTTGTAAAAACTTTTCCAGTGCATTTTTGTCATTTTGTGCTCAGTTTTATCACAAACCTTTCGTTACAGTCAAATTTCCCCAGCTGTAAATAGACATGACTGTCAATTTGTTTTAACAGATTTGAATTTTGTGCATTCCTGCAACTGGCGCAAACTTTTCCTTNGGCGCTTATTCAAGGGGCGCTTATTCGAGGGGGCGCTTATTCAATTTTTCCCAAATCGTGGCCTGACTTGTTCATGTCTTCGATACATCATCTGCACGTGAACAACAACATAAGCTGTTTATCGACATAAAAGGCTGATCCTAAAGTTTAAATCGCGGCACCATTAGAAATTCACGTGATCACAAACTGAAACAATGTACAAATCTAATACTACACGACGAAAACTATACATCCTTTGCTGTCTCATTACTCGTCCATAAAATAGGGGGAGGGAAGGAGGGCCTTATTCGAGGGGCGGGGGGCACGTATTTTAAATTTTGGCCAACAGGAGGGGTGCTTATGTGAAGGGGGCACTTATTCAAAGGACCATCTCGATAAACAAATAGTGCTATTACAATAGTCGGAGAGTGTTTTCTTGGCTTTAGTTCCTTGATTTTGCTACTGATGAAATCACTAAGACAGAACAAACTCTATGACAATGGCAGAACGAGTTAAAATTCAAATTCAAAACTGAGATAGAGATAGAGATATTTTGTTCAGATAAGTACAACGTACTTTTAAGTTTGTCGTCTTTTGTAATAATCTTGAAGGCATTCTTTGTTTCTTGCAGCAAGATACCACATGTTCCCACGTACGATGGACATTTTGAGCGGCTCACTGTAACAAGAAGAAACAAATTAACACCAAAATAAGTCAAAAACAATTATTTAACCTACCCACCCCCCATTTCATTCAAGAAAGACACGTTCTAAGTGAAAAAAAAAGGTAGGCAAACTTTCAGAATCACGAAATGACTCGTTAGAAATGACTGTACACTTTTTCAAACACCTTTGCAGTTCAGGTAGTCTGGATGCAAAGGTTATGGTAATTCACTGTTACTGAATTGTCTTTGCCAATCAATAACCATTTGGTGTAGGTAATCATACGGTTTCGAGTTCAATTTGGAATTAATTTACATGAGTGATTTTTTCAAAAAGCTGAAATTGCACGAGCAGCTTCCGCAAGTGCTATTTCAGCTTTTTGAAAAACTCATCAGTGCAAATTAATTCCAAATTGAACGAGAAAAACCGAATGATTACTTATTAATAACATAAACATGAAAAAATTTGCATGGAGGAAGTGTCAGAAGATCTTTCTTGAAGCCATTTTTTCTCATTCTTTCAGCCAATCATAATCCAGAATTATGATGTGTAATTTGCGCTGATGTTACACTTTTTGCACCGGTGTTACACTTGAGCTGCACTGCTCTCAGCAAGTCAGAATCGAGTAATTTTTTCATGTATATTATTATAGTGATAGAGTCCTCTCAGTGAAGGAAATTTTGATCATGTCAAAGGAACACCAGGGTTCATTTCAGGTAGAAGTAGCAAAAAAAATAGGCAGAGAAACCAGGCTTTAAATCAGAAAAGCCACACTGCACAAGTGTTTGAGTATGTCTCCTAATAATTAAAAGGCATATTATTGCATTAACTGACTAACACATGGAACAGGTACATTGCATTTTCTTCTAGAATCATTACAGAAAATGAGGTATGATAAGTTGTCATTGCAAGTCACAGCTATTGCACACAAAAAAGTAAACACCATTTAGTAAACTTACCACTGAGAACACATCCATGGTAGTCTGCTCGAAGAAGTTTAGGATACACAACTTTTAAATTACTAATGGAAGAAACAGTTTACATTCTGTTAGACATGAAAGCAGCTAATACATGTGTACAGCAACCCGAGGATTTAAATAAATTGACTTTCCAGGTTGCCTTTTAGGCAAGAGGAGTTAGAACCACTGTATGCTGGCCCAAAGGCCTTCATTAATAGCTGTACTTCATCTGCCAACTAAATGTCAAAAGTTGTCATGATATAATGTTGACAATGTTATGACAACTTTTCCATGAGTTACATGTGATTTGATGAATCAAAATCTGCAAAGTTAAGAGTCGTCAGTTTTCCTACTGATGGATATAGCCATTTATTAAACAACTATGTCAGTTAAGAGAGTCTATAATTAAAGTTAGCCAATCAAATTACTCCACTGCCAGTCCAATATAGTTCTCTAAATATGATCGTACCGGACAATGTCCCAAATTGCCTCGCACCGTCTCTCTTGAAAATTTTCTAGTGGTTTTATGGCTTACATTTCTAAGAGAACTTGCTTTCACATAAAAGATTCTTTTCTTTTTCTTCCAACTCTATTTCTCTTCTGTTCTGCTAACATCAGAATGAGATGTGAGTACATACACCTAGGAAGGTGTAATAATTCTCTTATTACAACCTTCACCCTTGGTCAATAAGATAAAATGTCTCTCTGCCCTCTCCCTCAGTCCCATCACACTTGAAGTTTTCAATCTGTCAATTAAACCTCAATGTCAAAGCCACCATAGTCCACATTACATGGCAAAAAGATATGAATTTATAAGTAGTTTAGGTTAAAAAAAGGTCGGACCTGGATTGATAAAAAAGTACTTCAGTGGATGTGGTACATTTTCACTTGTGCTTTTAAGGCAGGGTCCCAGGCCTCTCAGTTCACTCCCCTTGATCTAAGACTCAACTGGACTGAACCTACTCAACTCTGTAATGCTATGTAGTCAGACAGAATTAAAGAGTTGATGATGGTTGGTATTGAAGGAAATCAAATTTGTTAACTTGCCTGTTTGGAGTTAAGTTTAACAGCTCTTGCATATAGCCTTTCCACAGCTCATGAAGAGGAAGATACATGTCATACCTTACAAATAAAAAATTTTAATGGTGCAATATTAGCAGGTATGTTGATTGCCACAGTACCTGAGGTCTTATTCCAAAATTGGCTGTGGCACATTTCTTGAGTGTCCAAAAATGTCCATACCCACCCCAGAGGGGATCCTCTGAAATTTCAAGGGGGAGGGGTCTGAAGAGTCAACAGTTTTTAAGGAAAGTATGAACCAACACTGGAGTTTTGAGAGGGATTTTCATGGGGGGGGNGAGGGGGGGAAGGGTGAGAATCACTTCTGAATCAGGCCACAAAGTTTGTGGGAAGAGTATGGATATTTCTGAAACAACACATGAAATATTACTTTTGGAAAAAATTCAGTAGTTTGTTGATTTGGGAATAACAGTCTCTACTAGAGAAGATTAACAAGCAACTTCTTAAGAAGCTCATTAATCAGGTTTGAAAACTGAAAATTAACAAGGAAGATGATAATTTATTTTGTGGCATATTTCATGTGCCTATGGAGAATCCATTTTGCATTCACTGACAAGAACATAGGTGTATTATTACTGAGGAATTATGAGCCTACTATTAGCTGTTTCATTCTATCAAGACAACAGGGAGGGACGATATCAATTCGTCACTGTGCTTTCTTGTCATAATCAGCATACCCAATTAACAGACCATCATCACTTACCTTTGATTTTTGGGTGAAATCTTGTAAATCCCACGAATCCTTTTCTCTCTTGCAGACATTTCTTTTCTCTTTGGTTTCTTATTGGATTTGTTTTTGTTTCTGTTGAGTTTATCCAGCATCACTGGGTCACGATGCATTTTTTCCAAGTCAGTTTTATTATTCTGTACCATTCTTTCCATAAATGAAGTCACATAGCTCTTAGCTGAGCAGTTTAAAGGCTGTAAACAAATTCATAATTTAATCTATTATTCCAACGGCAAAAACAGGAAAACTTTGGTGTGTGTGGAATACCCCATTGCCAAATACCTTAGTTTGAGTTTAGTTGACCACAGTGGCAGAGTCATCTGTCTACATGGACATTGTACCTACACCCAAACATAGAGATAAACCCAATTTTTGGCAACGTTTGATCCAAAGATTCATATTTCATCTTTGAAAGTTAAAAGGTTAATTACCTGAAGGCCAAGTCCTTTCAATTTATGCTTAACATGGTGTGGAAGGTCGGAATACAGAGCACCTATAAAAGAATAACAAATATAACACAATAATAAAGTGTATTATCGTTTGTCTCACGATGTAGTCACTTGAGATGTAGATCATGATGTTTCAACTGCTTACTGTTAGTCTTCTTCCGGCGATAAGGTCAGCTGTGATTGGTGCATTTCGATCCTCCTATTGTTCCATTGTTCTGGTGAGTAGCTGTTCCCTCAGTGGTCCACTGTTGTACCGTTCTCCTGT